CGAGAATTACGCCGATTCCTGGATTGACGTCAAGGGAGAGAACTATACCATCGAAGACAATGAGGGCAACCATTCATTGCTCGACGGCATACAAGTGAGACATACAGTACATCATGAATATAGTCATCACAAAACACTGCTTCTTATCCGTTTCCACAATAGATACACCATATAGCTGATGCCAAAGTAGGTGGGTGTGAAAACAAGATTATTCATATTAAATGTGCTGGATTGGGAAAGGGAGGAGTATGTGTTAGCGACGTTAGTAAGATTTGTACTGGCTCACAGAAAAATGTAATTGAAGAATAGATACAAATATTCTGTAGATTTCAACATTTATGAAACGATTTAATCATGTAAATTATTGCATTTAAATAAAATTATTGTTTGTTATACAATAAACTGTATATCCTTTACTCTATAAATAATTTAATTAAAATTTATATTTTTAACACATTTACAATATTATGCTGATTTATTTGTTTAGTAATCGTTTAATAAAAGGTTATAACATGGTTTAAGAAAATAAACAAATTATTATAATTCATATTTAATTTAAGTTATAAGGGCCATTACAAGTATTAGTACTAAATGCACTTAGGCATAAACTTTAGATCAAAAATTGCATTCATAAATTTTTCAACAAGGCTAAAAACAATATTTAATCTGCTATTTGATATACTAATGTATTATTATTTCTTATAACGAATAATTCAAATAAAGTAGTTCGAACTGAAAGTGAACTAATCAGGAATCATAGACTTTTGTACCCTTTTCTCACACTATTATCAAAATGTGAACAGGTTCAAAAGTCCTTGATTCCTGATTAGTACAAGTTTAGTTCGAACTGCTTAGTTTAAATTGTTTGCTTTTAGTAGGATATAAGACCCTGATAAACTACCATGTCAAAATGGCGTAATAAATAAAGATTAAATAAAATATTTCATACAAATGCAACAAAGTCTAAATCATTGATAGATTTAATAGATTTAATATTTTTAATAATAAATTCCTAAATATTTTATTCAATGAATTTATTAAGTTATTTTTTAAATTTAAATTAAATTTATAGTTAATTTTGTCATTACTATAACACATTACTTTCCTATATTAAATTTATTAAAAGTCAAATTGACTAACAATTAAATTATAAAATTCATTTATTTAAACACATATCTATGGAAAGGTGTTTTCCAGAATTAAAATAATAGATTTTGCAATATATAAATCAAATTTTATGTGCTTTATAATAAATTTTATTAATTATTTGTATTATTGATACAAAATTTACAAACTAATAGACAATATGTTTATACAATAAGTATATATTATATGTGATGTGAATATTTTGGCACTCATTTAGTTATCGATATAATTCTCGCAGTCCTTTGAGCTGTTGACCACACATTTGCCACCGGATGGCAAACCTCCACATTTGTTACCCTTAATGGTGTTCTTACAGCCGCCCATCTTTGCCTCCGCGATGTGATGGATCTGATTAGGGGAAAGGGATGTATGGGGCAGTCATTACTATCTTTATACATACATAAACAATGATTGTCTATACCTCGAAGCCATTCTTAAACGGATGATTACCGGTATTGCCCTCAATGTCATATGAGTCTCCTTTGACGTCGATGTGTGAGTCGGCATAGTGTAGACCCTTCTCGCCGTTGCCATCAAATGTATTTCCCTTAATAACACCACAACACGAGCCCTCCTTTATGTCGATGGCCTCTGCGGTCACTTCGGGTCCGATTCTGTTGTTCAGAATCTGATTCCTGTCACTCTTGTCTTGCTTACCACCCGCCCAGTTGTGGAACTGTAGTTCACATTCAATATACAATTGATTACTATTTCTATAATTTAGATAGTTGATAACAACACTTTTAATTAAATAAATATACTAACCGCCTGTCCAATGTAGACACCCTCACCGAATCCCTGGTCCGTTTCATTGCCTCTACCCGTGTGGTGAACGTACGAATCCCTGAGTATATTATCGGCACTACTGGTTCTTAAGTGGATGCCCTCTTGTTTAATGTTATGAACCTCCAGGTCCTCGAGTATGTTATTGGAGGCGCCCTCCAGTACAATACCCTTGGGTGAGTCGGTCACAGTGAACCCCTTGAGCACCCAATGGCTGCCCTTCAGCCAGAAGCCATACTTAGTGCCCGATATGACGGCCCCTTTGGAGCCGGTCAGTGTGATGGGTGCGCTACTGGTGCCCGACTTGGTTGGCTCGAACGAGCCGTGGTATTTGCCATCAGCCATGTGTATGGTATCTCCCGGTGCGGCGCTTGAGAAGGCATCGTTCAGCTCAGAGGCGGAGCTCACGTTAATTGTCTTACAGTTGCCGTAAACCATGAGACAACTCAACGCTAATATGAGTGTGATTTTCATTGTCGTTATTGTTTTTCGGGTAATGAATAACAATTTAATGAATTAAATGTTTTCTTGAAAATGTTTTGCATTTATATACTATTCATTTTTTGGAGTTATTGAGATTTATTTGACAAAATATCTGTTAACTGATTGCACGCTACGATTAATTTTATGATAACTTATTGTTTTAAGTCTAATATTCACTCAAATTATCTATTGATTTGTAACATTGAAGGGCTCAGGTATTGACGCAATTGTTAATCAATAATTAGTAGGTATCCACAGCGTATCCTCATTATACTTTATTTATTCAACTGGGTATATACTATATATAAATTTATTATGTATTATATAACACCAATGTAACTAGTGTACAGGTGTACAAGTAAGATCAATATTTTATTATTACAAAGAGCATAATAATCATTATATTAATTTAGACAATGCAATATTTTAAGCTAAACCTGGATATGTGAATACTAGCACTTGATAAGCATTTTAATTTTCATATTTGGAGCATAACAAACATATCCGGGTAATCAATGTATTTATTCTTTAATCAATTTATGATACAGTACATTTAGTACTGATAATCAACATTTATTCTTAGCTTTCGCAAGACATAGATAGTTATTTTTAAAGCATAATCGACACCTATGATAATACCCTTTATTGATTAAATGAACAAGTATTTCCTAATAATTGTTTTGATAATAAATATAGAAATATTTTCAGTGTTGTTTTGACATTTAATTATTATTAAAATAATAAATATTCATTTATTTATATGGTATTTACATGTATTTATATTTATATCGTGAATATATGAATAATTAACAAAAATTCAATGTTTGTGTTTTAATAGAAATCAATAAAAGCAATTAATTATAATTATAAAATGTGTATATGATAAATATACTATATGAAATTGTTTTCAGCTCAATTTGACATAATATATAATTTATATGTTTGGCATTGATTTTGAATTCATAAATCAATTGTATTATTATATTGTTTTAAGTACGAGAGTGCTTTCTCATAAACAAAATTTATTTTTCATAAAACCATATAATATTAAAGAATATTCTTGCGTAATAATAATTATAATAATAATAATAATAATTTAATATGTTTTCTAAGATTCAATCTTAGGGCTAATTAAAACAATTAAACAATTAATATAAATCAATAAGAAATTATATAAAACTCTAAAGTAATTACAGTATATAAAAATGAAGAAAATTTACTAAATATACTGTATATACTATAGTTTAGGCTGATTTATTGGCATGCACTGGATAGAAACATATCTATAATAAATTATTTCGTTTATGGCATATAATTCAATACATTTTAACATATATTTTATTTGAAAGGCAGTTATTTTCTACAAACATGTATGTATCAGGGCATTTCGTTGTAATAAACATAAATAATAAAACTACATTTACCGTAATTTAAATCTGTTTTCTAAATATCATGAATTTGTGGTATGGCTGAACTTAGAAAACTAATGATAACTAACAAATAATTTTTTTGTAACAAATGCTTAATTTATAATTTTGTATTTAATTAAAAAATAATGTAGAATAAGCTTATATTCTACATTATTATGAATAAGGATATTCATAAATTCAATTAGGACGCTTTGTTTGATATTTATAAATAATCTATGATTAATCCTTTCTAAATATAGAGTATAATTACCCGAAATAATTATTATAATTATGCTATAAATTATAGAAATATTTTACGGCTCATATCTAGTGATAAAATTGCAATAAAGTTTTATTATTAATAATAATCATATTGGAAATGATTAGCCCATTGTGTATTTATATGAAACTAATAATAAAAACTAATATACACTTTAGACATTATAATTGACACACTAAAAAGGGTTTTGCTTAAAATACATATAAAACATACACTACCCCTGAATTCTAATGTATTTTATTATGTTATACAAACTAAATATAAAATATGTGAATCTATTTTATATACAAATTCATCTGATATCTTACTTATTTTTTAAATTACGACATTAATAGACGCATATTTGTTAAAATTAATATTTATTAATTCAGTTACTATTGACCCCAATTTACAAATTCAATAGTAAAATGACAATCAGGATCCATATACTGTAATAAGAATATATTTAATTTATAAAAATAATAATTCAGTTTCTCTCTCATCTTATATTACCGTAAGTGACACACAGTAGTTGAATAATGTTATGCAACTTATAATTGATGTAATTTTTAATGATCTCAATTTATTCATTAATCAAAACATTATTACATATACAAACTTAGTGCCTTATTATTATTATACATATAGATCAATATAATTTTGACAGATAAATATAATGTCGATAATATGCAAATTTAGTTTTCATACTAAATTTATATTAAAATTTAATTATCAATGTTTAATTGACTGCAAATGTTATTTATATAATAAATACATTTTAATAAAGTAAGACAAAATTTATAATATAATCTTAAAATAATTTACATTTTAAACCATAAATGATAATATTACTAATGAAAAACTATTAAAGTATTAATGCTTTAAAAATCATAAATGTATTTGAAGCTATGTATCTAACTTTGTACTAAAGTTTCACATTTAATTGAATTGATTATCGTTATGTAATGAGCGATATTTTACAAATTTACTCATCATAAAAATTAATGTAGTGGACTGGTAGTCAGCGAGCACATTCAAAATGTGACAACCAGTCCATTGCGATTAGCTATTAAATGACAGAATATTCCTCATAATACGTAACAGTAATTGTAAAAGTGTTGATCCAATCAAAGTCTAATACTTTTTGTTGAATTTACTGAATTTAAGTCGCCGTGTGGTGAACTCCTTTTTGGCCTGACCAAGGGCAAACTGTGCCGCCAATATGATCTTGTCCTCATCGATCACATTACAGTAAATACACGGACAGCTCACCCACGACTTCCCCAATGGCTTTGTATTACCTGATAGGTTGACAATTTAATAGTAAAAGTCATTAGGTTTTTGTTTAATTATTCAGTAATACATTCAAAAAATATGAGAAGATATTTGAAACATTTATTTTAATCTATTATTTTGATAAAATATATGGTTTTTATATAAAAATTTTATGATGTTTAATGTAATAATATTACATATAAAATTCACAACTTGTATATCATATTTAGCACACGTCCTTGGACACACACACACACACACACTCTCTCTCTCTCTCTCTCTCATTTGTAAAGTTTTTGTATAATAAAAATTAATAAATAAATAATTAATAAGTGTTAAAATTAATTAGAAAAGAAAAGCTATTTCCGGTATAATTCCATACAATTTCGTAAAAATCAATAGTTTACTACCGTATAATAATTTATAAGTTATATTCCTTATAATATAAACTACAGAAAAATTACATTTGAAACAAAAAATCATTAGAAATAAAATAAAATATTATATAAGATATAAATGAACGAAATATAAGCACAATATTTGCCGTGAAAATCAATACCTTTATTATTGGATTCACCGCCGGTTTGCTGTTGTTTTGCAGCAATTTTCTTACTTACAGCCACTTTATTATTATTATTCACATCATTATTATCAGTCATTTGTTTCCTATTGTTAATCGTATTTCCAATATTCTTATTATAATTATTACTGTTTGCAATAATCTTGTAATTATCGCCAGATTTCTTAAGTTTTAATTTTAAATTCTCTTTTTGATTCATTATTATTGAATATAAATATATAATGTTTTAAATTGACAACTATTTTTATACACAACAATATTTGACTGTTTATGTTAGACACAAAGTAAACTTATTTATATTATGTAATATAATTTGTATTGAATACGAAAAATATTAACATCTAGTAAAATAAAACTGTTTTATTAGTTTACATACCAGGCCCCATAAATAGCCAACACCTGAGCCAATACAACAAACAAAAATGTATTGTATGTTTGCATAAGTTTTGTTAATGTACTATATTATGTTGCATTAATATTATTATTATCATTAATAGAGTAATCGTTTTACAAATTTATTTTGCATTTTCACGATAAAAACAATTAACATAAAAATGTTTATTTATTTTTATTCACTTTAATGTGTATTTTACATAAGTATTTTGTTGGATACATGTGTTACTACCACACACTATAAGTATGTATTATATACAACACTGCTGAACACTAAATGAATTGAAAATATTTTTTGCTTTCAAACCAAAAAAGTAAAGCTTTTATTACAAATTCATGTGTTTTGGACGATAACTCATGGCTTGATATGAGACACAGAATCGTATCATAATATTCTGATACGACTTTTTGCCATACGATTCACTCCAACACGATATGTGGCTATAGTATAGCCGCGTGTCATAAAAACATTGTAGATATCGATCGACACCGTACCTAAAAATAGGCCATTAATACGATAGACACTACACTCTAGTGTTTTACAGCCACTAGTTTATCATTAATTAATATGCAAATCATATAAAATATTTATTAGTAGATGGTTATCAAGGGATGGCCAATAAGGTGTTGAGGTCAGGGTAACTGATAATTCACTACTATATTCGTGACGTGTATGTCATTAAACAATTGATAACGGAATTCAAATACAAATTAGTTTTGTTGTATTAATACTTGTAAAAATGTTTTGGTGTTTCACTTTATTTTATGAACACTTTTTTTATGATTGAATAAATGCAGTCGTATTTAAGTTTAAATTAAATGAATGTTTGTATTGTATAAACAAAATTTAAAAATCTTTAAAAAATATTACTAATTCAATGAATAATGTTTTGACACAAAATTATTGAATTAATTACAAGAATAGTGTATGAATTGTAGTACAAAAGCCTTGTACTAAAAACTTAGACAAAGTTTGTCTGCTATGGCGTGTGTGAGGGGAACAGGAGATTAAATAGAGCTCATTGACCACTACCTGTCCACTGATGTCCAGTTGTGACCCATATATGGGGAGTACTATTCTGAGAATGGGTTACAAATGTTTATCAAAATGTATATTTCGTGTGAATTATGCTCACATTTGCGTTATATTTAGTGAATATTTCTTAAAATAAGTCTAGAATATCGATATTTATTGAATTCAAATGAAAATAAGTTTAAAAATAGTTAATGAATTATAATGAATAAAAATGTTTTATTTTAATTCTAAGATACTTTTACATACTAATAATATATTTGATGTATATCTACTGTACATTTATTATTTAAATAATTTAGTTCTTAAAAACTGCTTGCATTGAAATTATTTTACCACCAAATACTAGTTTATTCCTGCTAAGCTTATCATGATACGGTATACTGTATGATCTTGACACAATAATGTTTTTACAATACAGTATAATATACTATACTACATTATATTATACTTTTTATTTGCTTTATATATCAATCGTTTTTTACTTTAATTAATATACAGTATAAGAGAATAGTGGAAATTGGTAATTATTTTGCATGGGTTATGTGCATTATATTTTTGATCAATATTTTATAATAGGTAATTTCATATATTCTATGAAGTATTAGGTAATAAAAATTGTATTGCAATAATTTTAGATGCAAAAGAGTTCAGTTTTCAATTATTTTGAATTTTTATATTATAATCTAAATAAGGGCGACATTAGCTGTTATTGTGTGATATATTTGTTGACATTATTTTTTAACTGAATATTAAATTTTATGTCAAAACTTCCTTAATTACAATAAACTCCAGTTATATTTATTTGTCTTATCAAGACAACTTAAACAGCAATATACTACAAGCAACTATAGTAGAGTATTTATACTATACTCCATTATATTTAATTAAAAATTGGAAATTTTAATTACCAACAAAAACTATTAGAAAATTCAAATTAATTTTCAAAAGTTTTAATTCATATAATATAATAAGTAATTTACACGATTGATTTAATTATGAATAATAATTACCAGCATAACTGTAGTGAACCTTTCCAGTGCTTTCTGAGCTCTAATTTAATTAATAGATTATTAGGTTTTAATAACCAATTAATTTGCTATAAATATATTAGTCCCATTTTAATCTAACGTTTAATAAGTGATTATCAAATTAAATATAAATAGTGTTTTTAAACCAATGCAATGAATAGCAAACTTATACTCTTTTTAACAATTTGTTTTAACTTTTCAATAGTTTTGATAAGTTGTGATGAAAATGTGAATAAAACAGAGAATATTATAAGCAATTCATCGGTTATATTAGTCGACGATTTGTCACAAACTAATGACACGGACAGGGATGGACGTGAGGCCGATATTATTGACATGATTGGCAATATTATCGGTGCCGCGGCTGCCGGTGCTGTCGACGCTGTTAGCTCATCGGTGGTGCGCGGGGTGTTGGGAAGTAGGCAACTATTTTATATAATTTACAAACAATTTGCTAACAAAATAATTTAATTAGTATAAAACGGTACTAAACATATTAGTTAGTCGGCGTAAAACATATAAAATCTAATTATAAGTAAAAGTTTAGATATTTTATAAAATATTTGAAATATATTAATTTATTTAATGAATTAAAATGGTATTTTTGTAAACTTCTTATTATATCCCAAATATCAGATCAGCTCATAAGCACCGGCGAGTATTGTGGGTCTCGGAGGTCCAACCGTTACTGTGAGGTCCACTGTCACGACTACTTCAGGGGACCGATGATCGGGTGGTGTCGTAACGGTCTGTGTGTCTGTGAATGCGACCAAATAGAGTGCGACCGGTATTGCAGTCGACGCCATTGGGACGACGATGACTACGACTACTCCCGGCGCCGTCGATACCCGTACGCACGGCTACAGAGGTATAGGGAACGGGGCTATTGCTCGTCCAGTGGCTGTCGGTGCGATTAAGTGTCCGTTTTTTGTTAACACAATTTTAATTAACATGATAACAATTTATTTATTATTATATAAAAATATATTAACAATAAAATAGTGGCCTATTATTTACGGGTCCATTATATACACAGATATCGCAGTCGTTATAACAGTTATGCATATAATTGTCATTTGAAGTGTCATTACTTTTGGCACAATTTCTGTATTTACCTGTAATTTAATAAAAAGATTTATTAGTTTTCTCAATCATAATCATAATTAATAATAATAGCTTTGATTTTTTAATGGGTTACTATACTAAACTTATTATTAATAAATATTCATTAATCAAGCCAATAGTATACTCTCGATATAATTCATACTTTATTTCTATCCTCTAATGATTTGGATTTCTCATTAATTTCATCGCCTTTTTTGTTTTCAATTGTTTTTGACCACCGTTTTGGACTAAAACTTTTCGTTTCAAACACAATAATTGCGATGATTTTCAATGCGATTAATGTATTCAAAAGCCATAGTATTTGTGTTCGTCTTGTTTTCAGTATACGATAATCGAGTGAACAGTAAATTGTAATAACTTTATACAATTAACATAAGTTTTAACAATTTTGTTATATAATAGTTCGACAAATATGTAAATACTTGAGAGTATGTAAGAAATAATCCCGGTCATAAGGTGACACCAATTGAATAGTTTGCGATTAATTGCTATAAGTTTCGGACGATAGAAATGTGTTACAAATGTTTGCATTAAAACCGATACCATTGTTATGACACCCAAAACGGTGTGGAACTGGACCTAAAAGTTAGTGTCCATTAAATAATGAATTTATTTTTAATAAATTGTATTTACAGTATATTTATAGCTAATTATTATAAAAGTATAAACTATTTAAAAATTCTAAATACAGAATATTCTGTTAATCAGTACAAACCCCAGACCAGCCGCCAATTCTCATGTATATGAAAATAGCGCCAAATATGTTCAGGATCACAGTTATGTACATTAATATGCGATGGGTATTGTACCAAATTTGACCGCTAAAGTACCTGTCACGTTTAAAATAGCGGGCTATTACTATAGATATCGGGGTCACCGCTAACCACGAGATACTTAATACAGTTCCGTGAAGTCTACTGAATATTTTGGGAAATACACGAGTCTTTTGAGGTTCGGGTGACTTATCATTGGAAGTAATTATTGTATTATTATTAATATTAGTTATATTAATATTTAAATCATATACTGTTTTATTTACTGTGAAGTTGTTGTCAATATTTTTGACATAATCTATTACTAATGAGTAGGAGATGTAAATTATAGCACAGAAAATTAGTATAAATTTCACTCTAAAATCCATTTTTAATAACATTTATCACAAAATAAGTAATTAATTATATGAAACTCAAGGCATCATTAGTTATTGAAAATTTCTATCAAATATGTTTAATATTACATTTTATCTCTATCTGTATAGTGTACATTTACACTTTATTAAATTTAGTAACTTTCAAAATTAATAGTAAATAGTACAGTATTCATATTTAATCACATGTTAATTGAGTTACCATAACATCCATATCTATCGCATGCGTTATAAGCCGTTAACTATTGAAACCGGTTTTAATTATAATAGAAAACATACAGTTATTTCTGAATTACAATGAATTTTAATGATAAATTCAGTTAGCATTATACACAAGTTGTGTTACATAA